TCTCTCTGTGTGTGTGTGTGTGTGTGTGTGTGTGTCTGTCCGTCCACCTGCCTCCCATGTGCCAGGAACCTGGTGGGCTGTGCTGTGCTGGGCACTGCACTCGTGCCCGCCAGGTGACAGCACATGGCATCTGGCCTGGGGAAGTGGGTGGTTGCTCCTAGTGTCTTACCTACACAACAGACACCTGCAGCTTTGTGGGTCAGTCCTCCTGATCGCTAGGGAGACTTCAGAAGCAGGGTCCCAGGCTGAAGCCCAGGAATGCTTTCAAGGCAGCTGCTGCAAATCTGGACGCTAGACCCTTCCAGTAACCCGCCAATATCAGAGTTAGAGTGAGGCAGACGGGGACACTGTGGCCCAAGGCTGATGAGGAATGGGCCCCTGGATACACAGCTCTCACCCACCGGCCCACAATGAGTCCGCGTGCACACTTGTTATACAACTATACCCAGGCTGCAGCATGCCCACTTCCTGGACAAAGACATACTGTATATGTTGATCACAGACCCCAGAAGGTGAACGACAAACAGGAAGATGAGGGACAAGGTAGCTGCAGTGGGACCATCCTGTCTGCAGGAACACTCAGGCCGGTCTGAGTGTTAGAAAAACACCTTTACCCAGCCGCCGTAGTTCCATACGCATGGATCGACCCTAGAGGGCACTGTGTTTCGTGGCACTGGAGAAGAGTCCCTGGGAGAGGCCCCAGTCAGGTGCTGCTGCTCGTGGAGGCATGGGGACCTTCCTTTCAGTTCCTTCGCACCCAAGCCAGGTTGTAAGACCATGAGTGCCATCCTGCCCAAGGAGCTGCCAGTGTAGACATGGGGTGGGGGAAGGACCATGAGGGCTGCAAGTCCACAGTATAAGTGATGAGTAGAGGGCGAGGTGGCGACTAGGTGGTGACACAGGGTCCTAATAAAATGAAAAAGGGTTGTGGAGCCACAAGGCTCGTCAAGAGATCCCAAGCATGGTGGCGCACGCCATTAATCCCAGGACTCCAGGAGCAGAGGCAGGTGGATCTCTGCGAGTGCAAAGCCCATCTGGTCTA